AGCTTGTAACGTGTGGAAGATATTCCAAATTTACTAGAAAGAAATATGTTTATGAAATTTCAGTTTTTACAAATCTGTCTGTATGTTTGTTTATCTGTCTGTTTGTTTTATTTACTCAGCTTTTAAAGTCCATTTGATAACAGAAATCTTGTCCCATAGGCAATATATATATTAGATTAGATTCCGACAATTCGCTTTAAAGCTAGATTTTAAATGTTTTTAAGTTTTTACTTTTTTTTTATTAAATTATAAATTCCAGTTTAAAAAATTTTTTTTAAATGTATATTCTATTTATATATATTTTGTAGAGTATTACATATTCGTATATATGTGTTCGTCACACAATTTCATTGTTTTCCCTTGGCTTTTCTCACTTTTTGGCTTGCAGGAGCATCCGTTGCATTGAATGAGTGTCCTTGGCGTTGCTGCATGTCACGCCACGCCACAATGTCCGATTTTGTGCCCGGCGATTTATGGGAAGAGATACTGAGCCGCCACTGGACGTTTCTTGAAACCGAGGAGAGCCCACAGAAATTGGAGCAACGAAAAAAGGTTGAGGGTGAGTAAATATGAAATGTTTTCCAATTGTACGAGAGAAAAGTTAGCTTTCTCTCTACAGAGACAATTTCACTTTGCAGTATACTAAAATTGTGTTTATCTCTGGTATAGCTTGCCTGAAGGAGTGCCTTAGCCTGGTGCCGCATGATCGCAAATTCTTTTTGCCGGAAACGGGGCATGTGCTGCGCAGAACAGTTCTCGAACTCCCTAATTTCACCGCACAAAATGGTATTGTTGGCTTCGAGGCCATCAGTCAATATGCCAACAACTTGTTCACCAAGCCCTGGCGCAAGGAATTTCGCACGCTCAAGGTAAGCCCATGCAGCATATGTCAAGAGTTATCAAATCGAATTAAGTTTCTCTTTCTTATTACAGACCTACTCCGGTTCGTATCAGCATGAGGTGGAAGCTAATTTGATCGATGCTGAACGCTTGTTCCTGGCCATGGGCTATCGTCGCGTTGCCGAGGACACGTTTGTGCTGGAGGGACCAATTTGTCCCGACCAGGTGACAAATGTCAGTCGCGATGCGATGGCCGCCTATGTGGAGTGCCAGATAATGAAACACATTTATGCGGGACTGAGCGCCGAGGGTTTCAACTGCACTTGGCAGGATATCTTCCACTATCGGGAAAGGCATGTGGGCGGCCCAACACAAACCATTAAGGAAATGGCCTATAGACTGCACGAGAAGCGGCTGCGCAAAGGGCAACAGCAACAGCAGCAGCAGCAGCAGCAGTTGCAACTCCAGCAACAGCAACAGCAGCAACTTAATACTGAGAATACCTACAGCAATATTGCGCCTAATCTCTGCGACAACTGTTCGGCTGAGAAGCTGACTGCCCCGCCCGCTCCCTGTGCGCTGCATGGACCCAGCAATAGCAATACGAATAGCTGTGCCTTGCATGCGCGCATCCACCAATCAATCCCGCCCACGAATCTCAATTATATGTATCAACAGCCGCAGGGGGCATTGATGACGCATTCGCGCAGCTTGGAGCACTATCAGGAGCCGCATGCGACGTTACCGCATCGTCATTCATTTGATCAGCACCCCAAGGAGTGCGCTGCACTGCATCCGCAGCAGGGGCATTTGTATGAGACGCCGTACGATTGCCTGGATGGGCTCAGCTTGGGCAGTAGCGCCTCGTATGCAGCTGTTGCTGGCGCCTACAATGCGCCGGGCAATCGCTATCCGCTGCCCTACAACATCTCCAGTCAGTTGAATGCGCCCTATGCCACGCCCCTGGACACCTATGCCAATGCGGAGCCGAGCAATGTGAATATGTATGCAAGCATAGCCAGCAAGCCAATGGCATCGGTGCCCCATAGCTGTGGCTACCACGGTGGGCCGCCCAGACATCAGCCAAACACTGCTGCCGCTTTGGCCGCCATGCAGCATAGGCAGAGCACATATCCGCCGGATCATCTGATTGACTTTGATGAGCGGGCGCAGCTGATGCAGCACGACTTCAATGATCCGCGGCTCTATGACCGCAGAGGGCAGCGGGCACAGACAGCTAAGCATGGCATATTGAGTAACGCCATGTATGCCCAGCCACGGGATGTTATGTCTATGGGCTATGCTGGGGGCTACGAGGTGCCAGCGATGCTGCCCACCACGTTGCCCCAGCCACCGCCACAGGACATGTATGTGTATGCACGACCCATACCTAAGAGTAGCCGGATACGCAATCAGGCGGAGTCGGTCGACAAATCAACGGACAGACATCGGGAGCCAATGATGGTAAATGAGAATAGAAATCAAATACGTATACGCAGCTTGTTGTTAGCTGGAAAGCAAGCACGACCATTTTTATTTTCGATTCTAATTTGTCTTCCGTTCTAGGATTCGCTGGACAATAATCGCAAAACAATGCACAAGGAATTAAGGGAACGCATGAGTCTGACCGCCAGCGCCGCAGATGGACGGCAGCATGCGCGGGAGCGGGATCTGCAAGTCTCCGATGGCACCACCAGCTACGAATCGCCCAGCATAGATGACTTTACGGTTCTCAGCAACGCGTCATCGCCGCCGTTGATGCCTAAGGTTCAGGAGGGCGTTGGCAGCTTTGAGTCCTGGAATTATGTGTTCAAGAATCTTGAACGTTCCGGTTACTCCAAGGATTTGGGTGATCGTGAGGATTTGCTTGTGCAGAGTTTGGATTTGGATTCGCTAACTTTGGCCAATGGCGGCGGTGGTGGATCTTCCGATAAGCGGCGCACCGACACCCACACACAGGCCGCCTCTGCGGGGCCAGTGGAGAAATCACGCACGCTGGAGAAGAAGCGTGAGCCGCGTGTTGTCCAAGCGGCGGCCCCTGCGCCTGCGCCGAACAGCAGCACGCCAGGCGTCAAGAAGATCAAATCCGCTTTAAAGACAGCCACCATAGACAATCGGCCAGGTGGTAGCGCCCGCAGCGGACGGAACAGTGCAACAGGCGCTGTGGCCAAGCATCCGCCGCCGGTGTCCACGCAGCTGATTGTGACCAGTCCCAATGAGTGGAGCTGTCGCTTCTGCACGTTTCTGAATCCTGACACCAAACGCATCTGCGAGATGTGCTGTCGCAGTAAGGACTTTAATCTGGAGGCGGCTGCGAACGTGTCTCATGCATCCTCGACCTGTGTCTAAGCTATGCAACAATATGAATATGAATAATATCCGTTATATATATATTGATATATGTATATGTATGAAAACTGTACACCACGCAAGTGATATATGGAAGAAGTTTTGGATATATACAACTACATATAGAACTTATATATTTTTTATACGAAATTCGTCATTGCAAAACTGTGTGCATGTTTATAGAAAGTTCTCTAGTCTTATAGCAACTACGTTTTCAATCACAATCCCTAGCATTTTGTACATATATACATGCATACGAACTAAATACATTACACATATGTTATCTATATATAAGTAACATTATGAACATTATTATTATCGATTACAATTTTAAGTTCTCGATTAGACTTGTGTACACATGCTTTAATTAGATTGTAGATTTGTTTCCATTTGTTGTGGGCGTCGCGGTTTTTGTTGCAAATGATGTGCCTACACCTGGTATAAGACGTATGTATGTATGTGTGAGTGTGTATTAAATACTAACTAAATATAAGTAGCTACGGGATAGAGGTGCGTGAGAGTATGTCTGAATGAACCTTAGAAAAAACTTTGTAAATTTTGTGGTTTATGCCAAATTACATTTATTATATACAACAAATATATATATATGTATATTGGGAAAGCAAAGTATATTTATTATGCGTATATATATATATTTATTGTATAATAGACTAACTTTTCATAAATACCTTTACTAATTATACAATATAATCAATTCAACTTGAACGAGCTAAACCAATATGGAAAAATCCGCAAAAATGAAATTACAAGTAGTACTGAAAACGTTTTAAACTTCTATTTTATTAGCAGCTCCTTGRAAAACATACATAAATATTATATGCAATAAGAGTGAGAGACAGCAACTATACATACGTGTATATATATACAAATATATATATATATATATATACCTGCTCTAGATATATAATGTATAGTACCATAAATCTTTGGTTTTTGCCCACCCAACGCCCAACGCAATACAAATAAAAGAATAAATTTAATTTGTTTGTTAATTGTTGCTAAGAAAAAAAATGTTAAATAAACCTTTAAGCAAAACAAAATAAATATCATATTTTTTTATAAAAACAAAAGATGAAAAAATGGAAGAAAATAATGTACCTTTTGTTTAGTCGTTGTACTAAGTAGCAAAAGTCAGTGATTTATTTTGATTCGTTGTTAATTTAATGCGCCCCGGCAAATTAGTTCAAATTATATCAGTTGATATTAGCAGAAAAATGAAATGAAAGCAAATATTTAAAAGAAAAGGCAAAAACCGAATACAATCAACCGTTACAAAATTCGATTTTCAACTTTGCTAAAATACTAACTTAAAAAAAAAAAACAAAAAACAAAAGTTTAAATGAAAATGTTAAAAACAAACTACATACAAATTATATTGAACACTAAAACAAAATATATGAATTTATAGGCAAAAAATCTTCCTACAAAACCCAGCAATAAATACTAAAAAAAAACACTGAATTTTTCAAAAAATAAATTGAAATATTTAACAAACATCGATTTTGCGCATTATTTTTAAATGTTTTTTAAAACTCAATGTATTATGTAGCAAAATTGATTTATTTATTTATCTCAGCATTCCCCCCTTTAGCAACCACTCTATAGTGCATCCAACTTTGCGCCAGGCTTCCGGAAATGCGGGCACCTCCATTGCCAGGGTATACATAAAAACATTATATCTTGGCATAGTTATTCAATATTTTTTCACTTACATAATAATTCCAAGGAATTAAAAATTTTAAAGTACCGATTTTTTTTTTTTTGTTTTTTGTTAACCATATTTAAGTATTTTCCTCAAATTTTTAATGAAGATTCTTGCGTTACGGCTGCTGCGATTGCTGCTGCTGTTGATTCTGCAGCAAGCCCGCGCCTTTAATTTCTGCAATAATAAGCAGGGCTACTGTGAGTTGGCCCAATCGAAGCACTTCATGTGTCGCCTCAGCACGGAGATGGTAGAGGGATCTGAGATCATTCAAGAATTGAAATTGTTAGTCAATCTTGTTTTCGATTTTTTGTAGAAACCAATCAACAAGAATATCAAGCTGGTGGTCGCCATACCGGACACGTACCTATTGCGTGAACGTATAATACAATATCATAACGAATTTCGTAATGCTATGGCCTCTGGCGTCTTGAAAAATAAATATAAAGAATATTTTCCGCCTGCCGGTAGCATGCGGGAGCTCATCTGGGATTTGGAGCTGGCGTACATGGCGCGTACGCATGTTTCCACCTTATCCTTTAGGCATTCGATGTGCCGTGCAGTAAAGCGGTTTCCAATTGTCGGCGAAAGTATGAGTATGGTGATTGCAAACACAAAGCATATCAATCTGACCAAATTACTGGACCTAACACTCAGGGAAATGTTTTATGAATATACGACATGTCCAAAACCCAAATCGTTTGTGACTAAATTCAATATTGCCATGTATTAGATTTGTGAATCGCCAAGTCAAATTTGAGCACTAATTAACTGCAATTTTCTTGCAGGTTTCATGACACCATTGGCCACTTGGCGCTCATGGTCAATGATCGAGTCTCAAGGGTAGGCTGCGGCTTTGCTGTTGCCAAATACTGCAATAAGCTGCAGAAAACAGGGTTAGCATTACATTCCATTCCATTAACTATTAGTCGTAGATTTTTATCTCTTTTTTTTTTTTTTTTTTTTTTTTTTTTTTTTTTTTTTTTTTTTTTTTTTTTTTTTTTTTTTTTTTTTTTGCAGCTATTGCTATTTGATGACCTGCCACTACAATTACAACATCATTGCGGGCACACGTATCTATAAGCAGGGCGCGCCCGCTTCGGATTGCAAAAGATGGGAGACCTCGCCCAGTGTCAATTATTTAAATCTATGCGCCAATACCGGCAAAATATTTCGCACTGTAAGGCCTATGGATTTTTTTTCTTTCTTTCTTTCTTTCTTTCTTTCTGGCACGCCTCAAAATTATGATTCTGATTTATTTTTCAGAAAACCGAGGAGGACATAAATTACATGGAAAGCTTGAGGCCGAAGAGTTAGTGCGATTAACACACACTATTTCTTGTTTGCATACCTTGCGTGTATTGCCACCTGATTTAAATACCTTAAATTATATCTAACATGATTTCCGACTACTTACCAAAATTTGTAAGAAAACAATAATATTCATCAATAATTATAATATTATTCAATATAAAATATTTGTAACAATTTAGAAGAAAATAAAAAATAAATAAATAAAAACTGCAGAATCCTCACTCACGTCTTGCCCAGTTCCAGATATCAGAATCTACATAACTTTCACCACGTAATTGCGTTACATACCTGATTTCTTTAGTTTGCGCTTTTTTTTGAACTACATTAAAGGATTTTGATCTCGTTTAAGTTCGTCGAACATTTTTATGTATGTATATTTTGTTTCATAATACCTTTTAAATCTTTAATTTCGGTCTAGTTCGATTGATACATAAACAAAGTATTTACTAATTCATATCAACTAACGGCTAACAGACTTAGTTGGGTTTTCTGATTTTGTTTACTTTTACATTTTTACGAGTATAAACAAATATTTTTTTCGATTTGTCTTTACGATTTTCATATTTCTATATATATTTATTTATGTTTGATTTCTGTGCGAGTAATGCAAGTAAAATTGGCTTTTCTTTTTGATAATGTATTTTTTTTTTTTTTTTTTAGATTTCAATTGAATCGAATGAAACCCGCTTGCTTAGTTAGTATGGAACATAGTTAAGGTATTTTAATCTGTGTGCCTAGGTTGAGGGTTCTAAATGCTTCTCGCTGCATCAACATAATCAAATATATAATAATAATATATGTATATTTATATTTGTATATAGTGAAATATAATGAAGGATAACGAGACCATACAAAATATCAGACTAAACATTTGCGTTTCGTTTAAAAAATATCAGCATATTCGTAATTAGAGTTAACTTTGTTTCGCCTCGATAAGGCAGAATTCTAGTTCAGTTTTTAATTTTTAATTTTTTTTTTTTTTAATGTATATATTAATATGATCCTAATGTCGCAGCACAAAAGTGCTTAGTTATGGTTAAGTTTGGTTTCTTCTTCATCTTGATAATGATAATCATATTGGGTATATATATATATATATATTTATGGCTATATATACGTGTTCCTAGGGCACGGGAATGCCTGCTGCAGTTGCCTACTTTTGCATTTCTAATTCGATTTCCATTTCGATTTCGATTTGCCAGCTACACATAATTCTTCGTCGTATAGAAAAATACATACAAACTTCTCATTCTCGATACAATATAGGTATGTCTATATATAAAGCAGATTTTCTTTATAGTTTGACCATTTTTTTTTTTTTTTTTAAATTGTTGTGAAAAACTTTTGACAAGCTCGGATTTTGAAGTTAAAGTTTTTGAGTTCAAATTCAAATCAGATAAATTTTTATATAAAAATTTGCGTGTGTGTGTTTTTTAAATGACTCGAAAAATGGAACACATTTAAGGATATTCATAAATGTTGTCTTGCAAGGTGGGTTTTCAAAAGTTTTCTTTTTTTTTTTTGAGAAAATTAGAAAAAGAAAAACCAAATGCATTTAGTAGTTACAGTTCCGAATTGAATGTTTTTCAATACTTTTACACCGAAAAAATATATGTTTATTTTTTCTTTTGAATTTAGATGCCGTCTTAAGTTATTTCTATAATTTTTAGAGCCCAACATTTGTGGCTATAAATAATTGTTTAATTGAATATTTCAGCCTAAGCAGTGCAACATTTTAATCTTCTACTTCGTTTTGTGCAAAGAAACATCGAATTGCGTTGCTTTGATGCCAAACATCTCAAATTTTCTGCCTAATTGATCTCTCATTTGGCGCCGTCTTCAAAACAAAAAATTTGCATTTACATTTAACATTTTTGTTGTTCAGCAATCTTTTCTTACGACATAGAAAAAAACAAAAACAAAAACAAACCAAGTGCACTCTTTACAGTATCTGACAGCCAGATCCATGCATTACCTCGCTAATAAACATGGGCGTGCCAGCGCCCAAGCCGCCATCAGTTTTCTGATGTTCGTTCTGCAATGGAACAAGATCAAATTGGGAATTAAATTTGCTTGAAATGGAAAATATAAATAAATTGATGCTTACATCATCGTAATCGCAATCGAAATAATGACTCTGGCAGTCCATGCAGCGACAGCTCTCTGACATTTTGCATGTGATGCCCCATTGCTTGGCGAGATCTTTGTAGATCTCCTTGGAGGCCTTGTTGCTCATCATCTCCGGCGTTAGCAGGCAGTTCTGCTCATGTTGTTGCTGCTGTTGTTGCTGTTGTTGTTGCTGCTGTCGTCGTCCGCGACGGCTTCTAGAGGCAACAGAGCCAGAGCCCGTGCCCGATGCACAGCAGGCCTCGTTGCAGGATTGTGTATTGTTGCCCGATACGGCGCCATTTGAACAATCAGCTGGAAGTGCGAAGGCTGGTTAGAGTTTTGTGATAAGACAAATGAATGGGAGCTTACGTTCATTGCCATAGCGGTTCAGCAGTGGATCATAGAAGTTGTGACGTGCTGCAGTGCTGGTGCTCGGCTCCTCGCCATCCTCCTCGGATTCTAGGCCAAGGTGTGCACAGGCAGCCGCCTGCTCGCTGCACTCTGTGCAATCGGCATCTGTGCATGACTGTTGCTGCTGCTGCTGTTGCCGTTGCTGCTGTTGTTGATGGCCATCGCTGCAGGCGGCATAGAGATTATCCTTGTTGGCTCGCGCCGCTGCCATTTCGGTTTCCAATAGAAATTCGTTGACGCTCAGCGTGCACTCTTCGCTGTTCTCCAGCTCCAGCTCGGTGACGCCCTCAATGATGCGCGACGGATGGGCCTGCTGCTCCAGTTGATCCACTTCTCCGTCCTCGTTGTTGTTGTTATTGTTGTTATGCTGGTTGCTATTGTTGTTGTTGTTGCGGCCGTTGCTGCCACAATTGCCGCCGTTGTTGTAGTTCTGCTGGCAATCTGGATCGTTGCAAATTTCGTTGCTGTCGCTGTCGCTGTTGCAGTTGCTATTGTTGCTGCTGTCATTTAGGGTCAGCTGCTCCAGGGCGGCGCTCAACTGAGCAGCGCTCTGCCTCGAGCTATTTGCCGAGCTACGTCGACTGTTCTGATTGGGCGTGGCACTGTTGTCCGACGACAGCTGCCTCTGGTGCTGCGAGAGCCTTGTGTTCTGCATTTGTATATATGCATATGTATATGTGTGTGTTAAACCTAATCAGTTTCTCTTCTGCTATTTCCATCTCTGCTTACCTCCTCTAGGACATACTCATAAGTGGGCGGCGGGGTAGTAGGCACGTTGTTGCTATCCGCTGCCGTTGTTGCTGCGCTGATGCACGGTGTGCGACTCGGGTTGACATAGCCTGCAAGATAATCGAAAGAGGGCTTAGAAAACTTCAGCATACAAATTGCATAAATTTATTATTGATTTTGCTGCTGTGGTTGGGTTAAGCGGCAAAGGGATGTCATGCAAATTTCGAGCTCTGCATACACTCAAACTAAATATTCGATGCCTTGAAAGAGGTGAACGTCGTGTCAAGGGCTTAGTCTTTAATAAATAATCAGATATGTGAGTTGATAATATAAATAAATCAGTCAATTACCATTTTCTATTCTACAGAAGGCTTCAAGCGGCGTTTTAACCAAATTGTTTGCAGTTTAAAATTTAAATTTGTTCCTTGCAATGAACCAAATCAGAAATCAAACTAAAATACACTCAAAATAGTTCTTTTTAATGTGGGAAAAGCCAAGATCTGTAACTAATGCTGGGTCAAATTGTGTACATATTTATTTTTATTGCAGCCTTGAATTTGAAGGAGCTAAATTAAAAACTGTAATTAACGCCAATGCCGAAAGAATTTTCTTCACACTAAAACACAATAGTAATTATTTTTTCACTTGTACGAAATGGAAAAAGTGTTTTCTAAAAATAATACTTTGAGTGTGTGTAGGGCTTATTGCGGTTGCATTGAAACATCAATGCGCCATGCATTGTGAATATGAAAACAATAAGAAATTTCAAATTGTTCGGGCAACAATTGTTGGGCAAATAATAAACGCCTCAATGCAAGCATGAGCCATTAAAAAAATAGTGCTGTCATGCTTCAAAATCACATTTAAAAGTGGGGCATAATCAGTGTATGTGTGGGAATAATGCGATTATTTCAAGATGAGCGGCTATGGTTTGTGGTATTTTTTAGCCTATTCTTACCCATACGCATACTGTTGGTATTATTGACAGCTTTATTTGAATTTGATGGCAACAGCAGCTTCCGTTCGCTCATTGAACCAAGACTGTTGCAATCCACTGAATCAATGGTGGAACTGCTTGCACCAACAGCCTGTTGTTGTTGTTGCTGCTGCTGATGTTGCTGTTGCTGCTGCTGTTGTTGTTCCTGTTCCTGCTGCTGTGTGCCAAGAAGTGCCTCGTTCACGGTCGGATCCGGATCGTGTTCTTGCGATGTGTTCGTGCTCCGCGAGCTGCCCATCCGAAACTTGAGCTTAAAAGGCGCCATATCCTGGCTTTTTCTTATCAGTTTTTAACTCCGCGTATTCCAATTAGAATTTGTGTTCGTTAACGGTTTAAATGCGCATTAGGCCAATGGGCTTTTTTTTTAATTTTTGTATCAAGTTGAACAATACTGATGCAAAGAAAATGAAGGCACAGACAGGAAGAAAAGAGAAAGAGAGATAGAGAGAGATAGATAGATACAACGGACGTGTGTTTATAAAGGGCAATAGTTTAAGTTGAGAGTTACAATAGTTACCACATCAATCACAATATAACACAAAATATCACAGCTTATAGCTAAAATTATTCATAATCATAATTTATTCAATTTTACTTTGATGTATAGTTTTTAGTGGCATGCAAATTTATATAAATAAAAAATTAAATTAATTTATTTTCTTCTTTTTTTTATAGAGTTTTACCTGCAATGCGAACAGAACAGATCTGACCCAATCGAGTGCTGCAAGTAATTAATGAAATGTAAGTATATTTATATATCAATATTTATTAACAAACATATTTACACTATTTTAATTAATTGTGAGCAGAGCTCTTCTAATTAATCAATTAATATTACGGATTTGTATTATTTTTTTGCGATATTTAATGCATTTTTTTAGGCTGGCTGTCAAAATGATTAATGCGAATTCCTCGGATAGGCAGGCAAACATCTCACCCACACACACATGCATACTCAGACAGATACAAATACACATGTGGCACACGTGCCAGTTGCTGCTCATTATATGCGGCACGTGTCACTGCCAACATTGCGTATACGCCCCATGCAACTAGCACATGTTATGCCAGTGTTTATTAATTGCCCGCGTTGTGGGGTTTTAAACAGCGCACCTAACATGTCCTTGAGCACCAACTGTTGTATATGTTTATAAATTTTTAGTTTGGTCGACAAGTTGTTGGCCCAAAATGTGGCAGGCGTTCTGCTTAAAAAGGCGAGCAGCACAGCCCACTCGGCGAACGCGCTCAGCACGTGGCATATGCCTTATTGTCATGCAGATTACACAAAAGCCACTTAACGCTTTGAGCGTTCAGCACGAAGCTGCTGCTGCTGCTTCTGCTGTTGCTGCTGTTGTTGCTGCTGCTGTACATGTACCTGCTCTACATGTACCTGGTTATTATTATGCTTATTGCCACCCAGTAGAAAGAAGAAACTCATTTCCTTTGCGGTAAGTTGCAAATTGGTCGCTCGCTTGTTCCTTCCTTTCGCCTGAGGCTCTTGTCACGCAGCTCAGCTGAAGCTTAGCTGCAGCATAAAGGGGTACACAGAATTCAATGTATATGTATGTGTATATGTGCATACATATACATACATATGTGTGCCTATGCTGTGCATACAGCAGTCAATTTATTTGCTCGCAAAAAATTCATATTTGCGTACAATAAACGAATCGAAAGCCTATTGACATAAGCCAAAATATTGCTGCTGATCAACTAAACATATTTATTTAACACTTTCTTGATTGCAGGTAAATTTTGCAGGTGATTGCAGAGAGTTGCCGTTGGTAAGAAGAATGGGTATGTAATACAATCTATCTCTTTCAGATTCGCGATATATAGAAGCATACAGGAGCTGTTTAATATTAAGATTTAGTATTATGATATATGTATGTATATGCATATTTATATAATTTATTTTGCTACATAAGAAACAATGTTTTTCAATTTCAGCTACAATAAAAGAAACGATTTGAAAATGCTAAAAATTGAGTTTTTATTTCACAGGCTAAAATTCAAATTTGAATAAATACGTTGCATCGGCTCTCGGGAAGTACCAGGCGAGCAGAAATCAGTAACAGGGTGATGTTAGTTTAAATTTGGGCATGAATAAAATTTACATATACATGAATGACACAGTAAATCCAATGTTTACTTAATAGCAACTAATTAATATTGGTCATTACTGTGCGTTTGGTACATTTGAAAAAGCGTTAAATTATGAATTCTCAACGTCCGCACTTGCCACGTGAGGCTTTGGTTGAGGATTTTCTTCTTTAAAAGTATCAGGTGAAGAGAAATGAGTAGTAAGATGACTCCACTATAAATTAACAGTCTCATTTGAGATTTTTAACTAAACATGCCTAAAAGTATGCAACATAATTTTCACTGTTAGTTAACATTTCATTCTTAACTCAAGGTCAAATTAATGTAAACTAAAATTTGTCATGCTGCTGGTCATTTCTGTTCGCCTGGTACTTTAGGGAAACACAGCTTCTCTTTGAGGCTATGGCCACGATGTTATTTAACATATTGGGATGGCTACAGCGGAAACGTTGTTGCTGCAGCTTATTCCAGCTGGAAACAAAGATGCCAGGCGAGGAGAAATGAGTAGCAACATGACGCCACTTTAAGTTTTCAGTGTCATGTTATTTTTTAATTGTGCATGCCTAAAAGTATGCAATCTAATTTTTTATGTTAACTAACATTTCACTCTTAATCAAGGTCAGCTTAATGTAAACTAAAATTTGACATGCTGCTGGTAATTTCTGTTCGATGGTTCTTGTATTTTTCAGCAGATTCAGAGAGAGGCTACACCTTATATGTATGTAATCCTCTTTTCGCATGGCATACATAACCAAAGATTTGTGAGTCAACTGGTAGATCTTGAGGAAACGCTAGAGCGTTCAGGTCGGATTAGTGAAGGAAATATTATTCATATTTCCGTTCACATTTTGACCTACTTGACTGGCTTAATCGGACAATATCCTTGCTATGATTGAAACAAGGATATATAAAAGTCACCGGAAACCAGCTCGCCTTATTGATCATCCAAAGTCAATTGGTATCAATTAGCAAGATGCTGTAGAATATAATATTTAGAATAATAGCTATATTTAAGCTATATTCAGTTGCCTGTTTTGGTATTAATCTAAACCATCCTTGAAGTCGAGCCTGAACTAAGACTAATTATACATTAATTGATATAGTTACAGGCTATATGAATGATGATATCTGTCAGTTAACGTCTTGTCCTGAGTTTTTAATACTAACTACATTAGTTTTCCATTTAGTCAACGTGTCCATGTATGCTGCAACGATTTTCGGCTTTGACTTAATATCTCTCCATCGCTCTATCTCCGTCTCGCTCTGGCACTCCGCGTGGCATAATCTATTAATACCTTTTAAACTGGGTCACAGTTTCAATTTTCGTTGCACTTGACAGCCTAATAAAAGATACATGCTCTCATACATGTCAAACTAAACTCTAAATTACATTTTCGATGAATGTCCATTGAAACGGAAATGTTTGAATTTTGAGGTGTGCTGTCAATGTCAATGATGGGGCATTGATATCTATAGAAATTGGAGAAGCAAAAAATTCTTTGCTTAAACTCTTCTGCTTGCTTGGACTCCAGGTAAATTGCAATATTCATAAATATAAACTCTAGAGATGAGATGAGAATCATAAGTTGGGTGAAAGCACATAAGCACAGGCCATAAAATCAAAATGATATTTTAAGCCATAAAAATAAAAGGGGGCAAACGCAACGCAACTGTTGCATGCAATCAAATTGATGGCATATTTTTTATTAAAGGAATTAAATGCGACAGCATTCAAGCCAAGAACGCAAATAAAGGACTGGCCCATTGAAGACTGGCCAGGATAATGATATGCAAACACGAATTGTCTTTGGACAATATGCGGCTTCATTAGGCAAATAGGCAAAGAAGTGTCCTGCGTGGACGGGCGAGAGCCGAACGATGATGGAACGTTTCTATTTTTTACTATTTCCTTTCTGTCTTTGTTTGTTTGTTTGTTTTTTTTTTTTTTTTTGTTGGCATGGCGTCATAGAGAAGGAGGACTTCGTTGTGGCAGCACACATATTGAAGGCGAAATTAACACCGAGCAAACAAATAATTCTAGTGTGTGTGGATGGGGCGTGGCGGGGCGAGATGGGGCGAAGGGCGCATTGATGTTGCCCAGAAAACTGATATCTAATTGAGTAAACAGCAAAGTGAATGGCCATGAATTAGCCAGAGGCGTAGTCATGGACCCATTGCCATTAATTTGCTGATATATGTATGTATATAAATATACTAAACAAATATACATATATACACATCTATATATATATATATCTTCGTATCATGTCTGCAGCCTTGCATCAGTCAAGTACAATTCATAGTTGTGTTTGGATCCCGTGGGTTCTTTCAATTGTCTTGGACTTCGAGAGCGGTAGGAAAAATCGAAAAGCACACACAGCCAGACATACACAATCACAGAAAGAAACATACACACACATACACATATGACCCAACCTTGAAGTGAATGCAATTGTTCTGCGAATTGATGTACTTACCCTCGGTTCCTACGTGGGTGTCAAACGGAAATTGCCCTTCGTCTGACAATTGACTAGCTATATTTAGATCTGCTAGACAATTAACAATTTGTATAGCATGTTTCAAGTTTATAAACAATTTTAATGACATTCACATTTTAGTTGAATGATGCGCACTTTAAAGTTTTTTATTCTTTTCTATTTATTTTTTGTCGAATGTTTCAACTCACTTGAATCCTGTCACAGACTGTGGAAAGTTTTGTACGCATACGAGCTTTTTATTATCCTGGCTTTCGAGCTTTTGTGGATTTTTGGCCAGCACAGCGCATGCGTGCTTCGAGCTTCCGGCATTTGCGGCGTAATGTTTTGCTTCGTTACACGCTTTGTCTTCAGAATTCTTGCGCTCTCTGCTTTGACTCGCTGATTCGCGTGAATGAAATGAAATTAATTGAACGAAAAACTATTCAAAATATTTAACCATCAACCATGCTTTTCGCATTAATATATACATATATATTCCTCTCTATGCTGATTATTAAACCTGTACCATCAACTGATTTTCCATTCGGAGTAAATATGTACATCTAACATAAATTAGGCCGTTAAATCGTTAGTAGATTTATAATTAGCTACATTTACGTTAAATTTAAAAATATACATTAACAGGGCTACTATACTGCAGAGGATTTTTTAGTATTTATTTATATGAATCTTATGTACACACTGTTTCTTGCTTGCTTGCTTTTTGCGGCAAAACAAAAATACAAAACTATAAATTAAATGAATCTAAATGTTAGCAACAGTTTTGGATTTACTTGCCGGGTAAGTTTACCTATTTTATACATAAACATATTTATATTATATTATTATATCATATTTAAAGCTGCTACGGAAACAATGCGACAGTGCACAGACGAGCAAACGTGCCGCCGAGGATCTTGTTGATCTACTCAAGAGTCTAAACGCAAAGGAAAAGGTGCGCTGGAAATATCAAATCAAACTGAATTTTATTTATTGAAACAATGTTTATCACAAAGCAGCTCCTGTTATCAAAATACTTTTGTCAATTGCCTTTGAGTGTTGGTAGCTTTCGAGTGCTGCGACAGTTGCAAAAACTAAGAATTCTGACTACCACAGAATATATATGCAGGTAAAAATTTGATATATAGCCATATAAAACTTATACATACATATATATCGGTGCTATTTATTGACAGTATTGAGAACGATGAGCAGCTACAATTGATATTAATAGAGTTCCTGCAAAATGAAAATGAGTTGCTGATAAATCTCTTTATTTCGGCTCATTATGGTAAAGTAAATTATTTATGGATATTATATAATAATTTAATTGTGTTTAATTTGCAGATTCTGTAAATATGCTGAGACTGAATAATATACTCGAAAATGCTTTAAGAAATCTCTTTACCGCTCTGGCTGTTAATCCTAAGATCAGCGATTTGAGCTATGTTGAGCCGCTGTGTAAATCTTTGCCTGGTAGAAGATTTTGAAATTAATTTATCATTTTCTATTATTATTATTATTATCTCTGATCTTATCTCTTTTCATAGATGATGTATTGTTAAATGTATGCATACAAATGCATTTGAACTGTCTATTGGAGTTGCATGTGGCTGCCGATATTAGTCTGGCATTTAAGCATTTGAGCGCCTGGATTAATGAGGGAGTCGATGAATTAATCTTCATCAAACGCCTCGCAGATACTGTAAATATATGAGAAATATATAGAAAAATTTAAGAATTAATAATGAAATTTCATTTTAGCTTCTTGTCAGACATCAGGAGCAAGCATTAAGTCATCTATTTAAAGTATCTACGTCAACCAGTTTTAAGTATTGGAAATTCTATATAATTTTGCTGCAGTCCATAGCCAGCGGCGCTAATACAGACACGGCTTCATTTATTAAAAGTATAGTATATTTAATTGCTTATACATATAAATATATATTGTATAGATAATAGTGAATATCTGCACGTAGAATACCTCAAGAATCGTCTGCTACATGCGGCTACGCTTCGCTGTCAGCTTACCTTATTGCATTTACTGCTCACGGCGCGAGCTGCTGCAGCGAACACAATGAATATACAACAAAATTTGGATAATTATGCTAAGTGGTATAAGCAAAACATAGGCGAAATGTCCTATGTGCTAAGCACTGAACAGTTTCAGGCGGTTTTAAATATGCTAGAGGATTCCATACATTACGAACAAGAAATTGATTATGTAGAGGTAAGCATTAAGTAAAATATTTTTATATATTTGAATTGTAATAAATTATTCTTTCAGATTCATGCAGCAATTGCCATTTCTCCTGGTGGCAAACTGGTGCAGTCCTATAAAACCAAGTGCAAGACCCATTTAGCACGTTTAAAACTTGCCAGAAAGCAAAATGATATTATTAATTGTTAAATTTTTGTCATATGCATATTTAGTATTAAAATTTATCTATATATTTACAATCATCTCAGACAAAGTTACAATTTCATAGTTTTGTGGCACGCCCCTTGCCCGCCAGCGGCTTGTTTCGTTCATCCCAAAGCGTTACTCCATCACAGGCGCAGATTCGTTTAAAGTTTTGCAAAATGCCAGCCGATCGTGCAATTATTCCACAGGCGATTCTAAAAGAACATCACCATTATAAGCAACTTAAAAAAAAATATATTTGTAAAACTTGCCTTTCACCTGAATTGCCATCGATGCGACTTTGTGGATTGCTGCCGCATCCCAAGTCATCGGCATTGGCTGTGATGACAACGGCACGTCCGATAATCTCCCAAATATCCAGGGCAGGGTCTACAAAGCGGAATGTAGCACGACCTGTTTCATCGGCTCGTATATTGCCCAAATCGCCGGCATGTCGTTCAGCTGCATCTGCATTGGGGCTGCCGTGCGGGGAATTACGTGGATTGTAATGATTGCCAACCGATGCACAGCCATTCGACACATCGCCACTTTCGTGTATGTGGAAGCCATGTAGCCCAGGCTCTAGTCCATCCACAACGCCATCCACAACTACGCCTGCCTGTTTGTCAGTAATTGTGGTAAATCGCACTGCGCCCTGCACGGGTGTTCGGTCCACTACACAGCCGGTTGTATTAATGAGTGCCACGGCTGAATGGCCACCAAAGCCGGAGAGTACAGCGCGTCGACCGGTGCTTTCGATTTTATCCTGTACTTCGGACCACGGTGCTGTGGTCTGCACAATCACACGTCCCTCGGTCGCATCAATGTCGACATGACCTATGCCCTGCAAAGCGCGCCGCAGCCTATCCGCACACGATTTAACATCTTTATCCATTTGCACTGCAAACTCAATCTGTATGTTACAGTTAGTAGATATTTAAAATTATTTAGTTTACTATTTTCTTACCTTCGTTGAGTCCATTGCGATATTAGTAAGCAGTTGGTCAAAAAAACACAAATAATGTTTGATAAGGTGTCGATAAATATACAAATGCAAGACTCGATAGCTCTAATCGATATTCTCAATTGCCGGTTGTCCATGTGCGATATATTTTTATATCGATATTCAAATAAACGAGTCAGTGTGTCATTATTTGAAAAAGAAATGAACTAGTTAATCTGTAAACATAAAACGTATAAATAAAAGAGCCACAGAAATTTTGTTTTAAGAAAGTTCTAGTAAAAACTTTTAATAGAATTCAAATCTTACTTTTAATAAATATAAATAATTCGTTTTTTAAATACAAAATAAACATTTAAAATAATGTAGAGTACATTTTATTTAACCAGTTGTATTAATTTGCTTAATTAATTATTGCGCCCTAAATTTATAAATATTTACAAATATTTACAATTATCGAAGATCTACGCTTTAATACCTAAATATATATGTATATATTTATAATTTAAAAAATCACACTTTTATTTCTCAATTGGGGATCGCACACAAATTCGGAGATTTGTGCGGCCCAGAGTGGCACTGGAATGCTGCAGCGACAGGTTCACACTGTTTGTCCTGGGTCTCTGCGTGTCTGTTTGTTTGTGTGTGCGTGGGTGTTGGTGATATGTTGGTCTGCATTAGATCACTGGGGCTATTGCTACGTGGTAATTTGTGCAGCACGCGAGGTAGAGGGTGAGGGCTCTGACAGGTTGACAGTTGTAACAGTGGCAATTGGAGGAGGTGGCGCCGCAACGCTTCGGTGTGGATCGATCTCTGAGTATGGTGGAGCAGGCAATGCAGCAATGCCAATGGCACTCGTTTCCATCATGGGCGGTTGCGATGGCGCTGCAGCAGCTGCCGTGGGAGTAGTCAGATTGCACATACGCATGACCTCTTCATAGCTGGGCAAATCCTTCTCATCCTTCTCCAGCTGCTCCTGTATGCGTGCGGCCTCCTGGCTGTTTGGTTCAATGTAAAAAATATCACCATAACGACTGTGCTGACGTCCGAGCTCCACAGTGTTCTGGCGATCTGCAAGATAAGCATATAATTAAAAGACATATGTTAGCAATATCTCAGATCAAATCGTGATTTAGACAGTCGACGCAAGTACCAAGCCTTTGACGTTGACGTTGTCTCTGGCGGTTCAACAAGCCGGATTGATGAATGCGCATAGCCAGCTAATGAAAGAGATAAACTTTTAAGATAATTTGATTCGTCGATCGATGATCTACACGATAATTACATAGATTGACTGGCTTATTACGAATAAGGCAATCAGGAAACCGAATACCAAAGCCAAATACGACGTCAGAGTCATGTTACGTCTCAATTGTTATTGCCAAAAATAAAAAAAAAAACTCCTTTATATATACATTATAATAAAATAATAAAAAAGTCAATTGTCTAGCAAAACAATAATAAAGCAAGCAGCAAACACAAATGGTGCTAGGTGTTCAAAAACCAGCGATTAGATAAACCCCGCCCTCATATTTTGGCACACGTTACCACTGCGATTGCGATTGATTCGCCTGAGCTGACGTTGGGAGCGCGGCGGACAAATCTTTGCCAGAGTTCGGATCTCGATGCGCACATAGAAGCAAACGACGGGCACTACGCCGAAGAACAGGAAAACTAAGCCCAAATAGATGGCCACATGCAGGCCCAGTTCAGCGCCCCAATCCATAAGCGAATTGATCTTGAAGGTGGATTTCAATTGAGACCCGATCTCAGAGAAGGTGCATAATTTTTTGCACGCCCGCCGCAGGCAACGATACGCTAGACACTAATCATAGTGCCTATATACCCAACTAGTAGGCTATGTATTATATTATATACGAAATTGCGTACGAACATGTGTATGTGTGTAAGTGTGTATATATATGTTAATATACATAGTTGTATACGTTGGTACTTGTTTCGTTTTTAGTGATAAGATTATGTGTATACAGCCGCACGCAATACGATAAACGAAGTTGCTAAACTAGACGTGTATACATATGCAATGTATGTATATGTGTGTGAATATGTGTATATGTATATATGTTTTGGCGGTCACATGTAAGAATTAGCTCACCTATGCTGCAAAAGCTTAAAATACAACATAGGTAAAGTTTACTAGAGCCAACTCTCTCTCTCTCTCTCTCTCTCACACACACACACGAACTTACTTCGTCTTGTGTTGCTATTTTGATTCCGCGCAGGACAACACCATCTGCTAATCCAGAGACCCGTACACTAACCAAGAAACGAAAGAATCAAATGTAAAGCTTTAATTTAAAGCGACTTTAAGACGACTTTAAGGCGACTTTAGCGACTTTTTCTACGACGTTTTACCTGCACGAGCGCATAGGATATAAAGCCAACTAGCAAAATTATTTCGATATAGAAAACTGGACCCACTTCCATATTGCAGCAAGCTCAGATGTAGACTGAAGCAAGCATGCTTATCAAACCAAAGAAATAAAAGAATAATAAATAAAGACATAAAAGCTGATTTTTGAAATGGCTATATGCCGTAAACAGGGCTAACTGAGAGTCTTATCAGAGACACTTCAAGTCGCGCATAATATATATACATGCATACATATACACATATATTCCATACTATATGAAATCGTGTAAGTAGTTCGCACTGGATAGCTATTCTTGTACATACCAAAGGAGCGCAGCTGAATATTCCGATTATTGCGCGGCGATTCGGTTCGAGTGGAACTGCAGGCGAATAATAGTTTCCACATCACATACTTTAAGATGAATATAGAACACTTTTAGAGATAATAATAGGTGAAGCAAACAGTTTCGGGCCTTTGACTTTTACCTGTATACAAACATAGATCGTGGGCAGTACGAGAACCATTATGAAGAATAGAAAAAAGTAGAACGTAAATATATCGTTCATGATTATAGTTTGACGTATTCTGATCCGTTGGGCCTGAAAACTCAGAGAGCACTGAAACTGTCTGCCTAAATCAAGTTAACAGTGATAACCTAAACGGGACAGTTCAATAACATTCAGTTAACTTTTCGAATTGGGCCAACAGTCATTTAATGACTTCATGAAAGTTTGTATATTTAAGTTTGGCACTGAGCTTATCAGAATCAGAGGTAATAAATGACGATTAGATTAGCCAATTGAATGTATATAAAGAAAGTCGAAAACCAGTAAGATCCTCTAAAATCCAGTATATAGCGTACATATATTCATGTACAATCTTGCACATACCTGTGCGTGGCTGCCACAGTTCGTAGCAGGCCCAAACGGCGAAGCGCAGGCAGCAGCAGCAAATGGCGCAGCAGAGAAAGAGTATGAATACGCCCGAGAATATGGACAGTAAATCCAACATTTTAGCGTTAAATTTTAAAATTGCCAAAATGGAACAACTTTTATGGACTCAATCACATCGGTTCACGCAGACGCCGTTGGCAAACTGTTTGCATTTTCATGCTCTGCGATTCTTTGGAGCATCTTATCAGCTCCTATACACCCACAAAGAGAGAAAAAGAATGAGAGTGAGAGTGAGAGTGAGAGAGCGAGAGAGAGAGAGAGAGTGCCACTATTCCAAGGCAGGTGGCAAATATATAGGTTGTGCTTCCAGTCGAGGGCTTCGCAGTGTCTGATAAGAGTCTGGTTCACTCTGATTAGATAAGATTTGCATCATTGCGTGGAAGCTTCGTGCACTCGCAGTTGCAGACGGTTAAATGTCTAAGAATACATCACAAATATAGACGTTCATAAATTTTGACAAAGTTGAAATCCCGCCAAGCGCGGAAGCATTCAAACAATTGTAAATTAATTCAGTGAGTGTGAGTGTGTGTGTGTGAATTTATATTGTGTGAAACACAAGCTAATTAATTATTACACAAGCATAAACAAAGCAGCAAATAAAAAAAAAAAAAAAACAAAAACACTGTAATAAATCTATTACGGACAAGCCACTTAAGCGGGCAGCGTAAAGCAATTATATTCCATTATTTCACTACCAACATTTTTCACATGCTCCACAAAATTTAAATGTCGTGGGGAATTCGTAAGATTTCAATGTCAAAGGTGCAGAACAGAGCCACAGCTGCTTCCCTAGGAAATACTTTATGTTTTAACTTAATTTATCGATGAAGGTTCACGGTTCCAATTGGAACAGTTGAACGAGCGCGAAGCAGAATGAGCGATTATTGCCTATCACAACCGGAAATGGAGACGGGTAGTCTTAATCTTTTTTTTTTTATAAATTTATAGTGGACAGATATTGCTAATATAGTATACTATGTTAGACCTGATCGAAGACTTTTCACGTGATGAATTCCAGTCTGCAAATAGAATAGAGCTATAAATATCTAATAGTTCAGAAAACGTGGGTAACTTCAAGGTTGTCAATATGACAAAACATATTCAGGGAGAGGTTTTATGTGTAGTCTTAAAATGGGTTTGAGGATATATTTAATGAATTCATAATATTCTATATGAAAGAGTACATTAAACGTAATGTACATGAAAAGTAAATTTTACAAGAAGTCTAGCTATATAAATATATTTTAGAGTACATTATGTAGTGTGTAGCGCATATTCAAGAATACCTTAAAGGGTATATTTTGAAGAGTACACTGAATAATCCCTAAAAAGATTAAAAAGATTCCCCACGTCGAAACCCTTTGAAAAAGTATAGTTCACTTAATACATATTAAATAGTTGGTTTTTATACTATCATTTGAATATTCTAATAAGTCAATAACAAATTTAAGTATAAGCCAGGTCAGTGCTCTTGCTATTAAGTCAAACACTATTTAATAAGCTAACCACTACTATTTTAGCTACATTTTACTATAATCTATTACCAATTGGAATTTCAAAGTCAATTAGATTTATTTGGATTAGAGAGAGAAAGAGAGAAAAGTCTTTTTAATATAAAAATACTAATTATCTATACAAATTTTGATCAAATAGCTCTATCAAATTGATAAAAAAAAAAAACCGATTCTATTGTGAAATTCCTGCTTGGGTTATTCGCTCTGCCTTATCAATTAAATCTAAGAGATTTAATAGTTGGTATTTGACGTCATTCTCTGTTGATAGTCAGAATTTTTATCTCGGCTTATCATTTGTTTGACTGTTATCAAACCTGAGAGGAAGTCAGGAATAGGAAAGACGCACTTGAAAAGCTCCTTTTGGAACAAGAAACGCAACATCATCAAAACAAGCTGCGATGCTCGCGTGTATGGGGGGTATAAATGGTAATCGTATTGCGATAAATGGCTATAATTATGATTGTGAGGGTACAGAAATAGCCGCCTTATAGATAAGGCCTTTCTAACTCGACTCAGCTCATTGTAAATTTTTGCGGCAGCTCACCTGCGGTAATATCGGTCGCCGTGCCGGATGGATCGATGCGTATTTGTCTGAGCACACGTGGCGGGCCACGCCCATTCACGGGCGGTGGCGGTGCGACAACTGGCTTACGCATAGCACACATACAGCACAGCTGCAAGAGGCGAAAGGTAAACACACTGAAGGTATGAAGGGGACTGAAGGAAACTCCACAACTTACGCGCAAGAGAATCAGCAAAATGACAAGTGAAATAAAATAAACAAGATATAGGCCGACATCGACGGCCATGGCTGAGAACTTAAACTAAATCGACGACGATTTCTGTTCGACACGGAACAAGTAACTGTTCTATAATGGTAAAGTGTCTAGAGCCAGTCACGATAAATAGAACTTGCGCCTTATCAACATTGCAAATGGTGGAGCGTGATTAATTATGTATATATATAAATATATATCAATAAAAATATATAAATATAGGCACACATATATATGTATATTAGTATCATATATGAGCGGCAGCATATTATCAGTTGAATGCTCTTTGATGATATGATATGGAATTTAAACTATTGGGCTAGTACGCACCCGTTAGGCTGGAGGCCCGTCTAGAGCGGTCAAACGTGCTCTCTGTGTCCTCCAAATTCCCATATTGCCGGCTCTTAAAAGACAGCTATCGAGCAGAGAGAGAGAGAGAGAGAACTTGAAAAACATTGAACTGGAATCCGCATATACTCTACACACTTACGATAGCCACCAAGAGAAATAGTAGCAGGATATAAACAAAATCGATCGGATTCATTGCCCGTGCCAAACGGTTCGAAGTGCGAACACTGACAGAGCTTAGAAAACTTAGAAATTAGCTGAATGAGTTTAGCAGCACTCGAGGAACATATCATTTAATGGTAAGGATTGTTATCTAATCAATTGACAAGCTTTTTACTGCGTTTCGAGCTGTGCTGAAGCTTTCCCAGCTCGTCCACTCATGAGTGGAAAGGGGGAAGTGGAGGGGTCTAGAGTGATTTTGATCTATGGTCGAATCTTACCCTCGATTGCCAGCCGCAACATTACTTCACGGCGCATCAAGACCCGTCTATTCCATGCCTCCAATTTCAGTTTCACAAATAGATAGCACTCCTTCGGAGAGTTGAGGGGAATTGAGTGAACTGACGGACTCGACACATATCGAGCTAGAGACGGCTTACCCGTAAGATTAACGTGACCGCGATCCCAATAAGAATGCCACAGAACCAAAATTCCGTGTACATTTGAAATGTATCTGCTTTAATTTTGACAGTTTATGCTAATTGCAAAGTTTATAAAATATAATCTGATATCTAAGCCCCAGGCTGCTTAGCCTGTTTTGTAAGGCACTCACCCTGCTCCGTTCGAGCTTGACTGCAGGAGCTCCAATGCCGAAATGGACCCAAATACGTCTAAAGAGAAACG